CACCACCGGGGTGGAGGACCCCGTCACATGATAGACAGCCTGCACCACCCTAAGATTGTTGCAACAGAAGAACCACCCATCAGCTCATGAGTAGGGAACCCCACACCTACCATGCCCCCAGAATGGGGCAGAGCTCCAAGACAGCCAGAGGCTGCAAGAGCCCCGATGATTGCAAGCTTACTGGGCAAGAGTCAGCACACCATGGAGAGCCCAAAATGGCCCCAAACCTGCCGCAGTGGTAAATAGGCAGAAGTCAGTTGAAGGGACCTACGGGGCCTGTCAGCACAAGCTACCAGTCAGGGGCAACCGACGTTCCCCCGCCCTGAAATCAATCCCACTATACAGGAAACTACAGCCCGTATCCCGACCCACGGTTACGTCATGGGCCACGGAACTCCGAAACACTACCCCAAGAAAACGCCGCGCGGACGTGTGACCCTGACGGCCCCACACAGAAGCGACAATGGGAGCAACCCTTGTGGAGGCACATAGCCACTCAACACCGACTGTCAGAAAATACAGCCTGGAATACAATAACCTGCCGGGCGCATCGGCAGCCGCCGGGCAGCCAATTCCACAGTTGCCGCCATCAGCAAGGCCCCCGGGCCCCGCAGCCCTAACCCTCGGACTGCTGCATCATGCCACAACACCCCATACCTAACCCCTCATAGGGAATGACAAATAAGTAAATAAGGAATCAGGTGAAATCGCCCCTGCGCTCCTCCATGGGCCCCATCCAGGGGGGGGGAGACACCATAAACATTCGGGAGGTAAGCTTATCAAGCCTCTTGGTAAGCCGCTCCCGCACCACCCGATTGAATTCTCATATGGACCGAAGAGGGCCTGCATGTAGAGCACCCATGTCCCTTATCCCGACAGATCGCCTGCATGAAATGTGGGAGACGGGATGGGCAACCCGAGCCCTCGTGCTAGAACGACACGAGGCCACTTACCATGACTGTCGGTGAATTTCCAACCACCACCTAGCCTCTGGCTGGGGGGCCAGTGAAAGGGAGGGTGTTCCCCCACCGCCACAAAATGACAAAAACGCGCCGTACTGAGGCGCCGGGCGAGACATAAGGAAAACCATCTGGTCCCAGGCCAGAAAGGGTCACACGTCTACCGTGGATGAAAGTGCAAGACGTACCTCCACCAACCCAGCTCACCCTAGGGACGACACGCATCCCAGAGAGTGTCCTGACAGCAGAACAACGCAAGCATTCTCGGGGAGCCCTCCCCCGACAATGCTACCCATAACCTTCGATGCCCGGACACAATTCCCGTGCGTCATGGGGGTGTATCAGAGTACTTTTTTTTTATTATATATATCCCTCACCAAGGGACCCTCAGTGGCAGAAGGGAATCCATCGCCAATAAAACCTTCCCCAATCTGCTCCGTAGTATTTCGTTACAAGCACCAGCCAAGCGGGCTATATGCACGCATCAGCAGCGCCCCGAGCCACACGAAACGCGCGCTATTAGCTGCGCAGGACGCAGCAGGAAACTTAATTCATTTATTTTTTTATTTTTTTTATTACCGAATTATGAAACCAACAGTGAAAAAACACACTTACACGTGAAAAGACTGGCGCTCCAACCACAGCACCGCAGGCACAGGAGGTAAAGTAAACAGACATGAAAACCAGGGTTCACTGTGTTCATCCCACGTGTTCCAGGCGCCCCCTGTAACAGCAGCCAGGATCTGTGAGAAGAGCAGAGGTGAGCCCACGCTCCACACCAGGAGGCAGCCGAGGTAAGTGACCAGCAGGGGACACACACACATAGAATAGGGACACACACACACATAGAATAGGGACACACACACATAGAAAAGGGGACCATACAGCCAGAGTGGGGAGACACATAGAGGAAGGGGCACATAGAACAGAGACACACGGGGGGGGGGGACAAGTCAGAGAGAGAGCACGGGAAGGAGAGGAGGGCAGAGGGGGACCCTCCAGGAACAAGGAGCCCACCAAGGAGGGAAAATAAACTGGGGGGGGGCCCTTCACACAGCCCCGCCGTCCCACGAGCCATGGGGGGAGTAGAAACGGCAGCCAGGCGACCGCACACCGTCGGTAGCATGCGGCCCGCCTTCCACTGCCCTGGCCGTTGTTGCAGGCCGGGTGTCTGGAGCCGCTGATCCTCAGGAAAGTTGCAGGCTCCAGACACGCAGGCCTGCTGATGCCTCGGGCCCAGGCTCCCACCTCAACCGGGCCCGGGGAGGAGTGACAGGGTACCCCCTGTGGTTGCAGGGTACCCTCAAATGAACCTGTGCCCCCCTAATGCCAGCCCCCAGGAGCAGGGGCCACAGGGAAGGCCCCAGAGGGGCCCAGGCTGCGGGGGGGGAGCACCCACACCGGCAGCCATCATGGGAGAGGGGAGAAGGGCCTCAGGGAAGGCCCAGAGGGGCCCAGGCTGCGGGGGGGAGGAACCCACACCGGCAGCCATCATGGAAGAGGGGAGAAGGGCCACAGGGAAGGCCCAGAGGGGCCCAGGCTGCGGGGGGGGGGAGCACCCACACCAGCAGCCATCATGGGAGAGGGGAGCAGGGCCACAGGGAAGGCCCCAGATGGAGACAGGCTGCGGGGGGAGCACCCACACCGGCAGCCACCTCAGGGGAGAGGATCCAGGAGAGGATATCACCTGAATCAGGAGTCGCCGGCCACCATCCACGCTGCAGCAGCTCTGAGGGAAGCTAGTAGGCCTCACCCTCCATCCCTCAAGCTGTGTAAATCTGCAGGCCCAGGCAAACAGGAGCAGGAGGACAGGAAGCTGTTTGCTGGCCCGAATCTCAAGTGGCACTGAGGTAAGACCTCCCCCACGCTAACTTACACAGAACATAATCCCACCCACACACTCTTTTAAACCGATCCCATGCATCTATCCCCACACTCCTACATGTGCCCTTGTCCGCATAGCTGCGCTATCTCCCCAGGGCCTAAACGAAGTGTCGTCTCTTTATTGCGGGAATTGGATTGTATGCTGATTGCCAGGAGTGTAAGCTGATTGTATGCTTTTCCTGTTCAGCTGCTTACAGCATTCATATGCTTGAGAGCATTCGTATGCTTCTCCGGTTCTGTGGTTTTGGTGTCTGCTGCAGTGCTTGGAGTCCTCAGGAAGCGCTAGGAGCATCCTTCAATGGAGGTACCCAGTCGGGGTGCCAGGTGATCCGTTACAATGAACTTCATATCTGAGAGTCATATAGAAGTGTCTAATACTGCGCTTACAGCACAGTGGTAAACATTCTTATTTTCTGAGTGCTAATCTGCTAAATAGTACATTTGTGGCCTGCGGTGCACTTCATATCTGAGAGTCAAATAGAACCGTATTATCGTGTGCGTACAGCGCACTTGTAAAAATTCGCATTTTCTGGGTGCTAATCTGCTAAATATTACATTTTGGGGCCTGCTCTTCATATCTACAAGTCATGCTACAACAAAATTAAACAAGTTTTAAAATATGTATGGGCCAACCGTGTTTTACTGGTTACATTCATGACTACACACTCTGGTGAACAGGACCTTCATGTAGTGTGTTCTTTTTTAAAAAATCATACAGCATCATTTCATGTGCTTTTTAGATGTCATTTTGTGAATTACCAATTTTTGTGTAGCCTGATTTTTTTTTTTAAAGTGAAAAATAAGTGTTATTGTGATTGCTTCATATACAAAAGCATTAATATACAGTTCTATATTGTGTAAAGACACAATTACAAAGTTAAAAACCAAACACTAAAACAACGTGTCAGACAATCTACCTGTGCATGGCTAGTGTGATACGATTAGTCTACATCTTAAAAATGCAAGATGTAGCAAGTTTTTTTTTTGCAAATGGAACTTGGATTCAAATTTACTACATCGGTCACTTGTAATATTGTTTAACACCTACAACACTTGTTACACAGATTTAAGTGATAGAAAACAGATTGATATTTTCTACACTAGAAACTACCAGATAACAAGCTGCTATATTTAAACCAGTGATTAATAGCTAAGAGATACTTCAACAATATTGTAATTCTGGGGCAATGCCCTCACAAGTCAAACTGAGAGGTCAGTTTATAGAGAAAACTGTTGCCTGGATACAATTCTAAAACAATTTCCATATGTCCTTTGCAGACTTTACATGCTGGAAAAACACAGGTGCCAACTGCTGTGGCTTTCTGCAGTGTGCATACCGGCAAGGAGGGCAGGGTTGAGGAGTGGGTGGAAGATGATGTGGAGGATGATGAAGTCCTAGACCCCACATGGAATCAAGGTCATGAGAGTGACGTGTGCTGTTTGGAGGAAGCGGCGCTGGTCGCACAGAGGCACCAGCACAGCATAAGAGGGAGTAGGGTGCAAAAGCGGAGCGGCCGTCCCCTAGCGCTCGTCGACATGTCTTGGCTCGAGAATTACCAGTTATCCAAGTAATACATGTAGCGATCAAAGGATCCAAAATAGACTTGAGCGAACCCAAACTGCAAAGTTCGGGTTCGTACCAGATTTAACAATCCATTCGTAGTTTCACAGTGAGGTGGGCAGTCCGGTGACCAGGACCCAGACACTGTCTGGGCGGCGGACGGATGACCGGGACCCAGTATGCCTGATGTTGAAGTTAGGAGTCACAGTGTGGAATGGATTAGCAGGGTCTGGTGCAGGGGAACCGCATGCCCCCTGGTGTTGAGCACCAGCGTTTGTGCGGCCACATACCAGGTCCCTGATGCAGCTTCAGTAAAAAGAGTACTTGATACCAGAAGCCATAACCAGACTGATCCGCAACTTGGAACAGGATGTGACATTCACTGTAGCAGCTGTGCACGCTTTTGGCGTTGTCACCCTGCTGCTGCTCTCCTGTCTGCGCTGCAGCGTAACTTTGGCCTTCCAACTCACTGCCTCATGAGACTGTGCGAGCAGCTGCAGCACGCATGGGTCAGTGGCTCTGCACCAAACTTACCTCCAGTTGATCAGAGTTAAAGGATTTCAAGTGGTCTCTAAAGAGTCATGTATTGTTATTTGTCGTCACTACCTTCCTGTGTCGGGAGTGGGTCATTTGTGTCTCTGCTGCCTTCCTTGCATGTGGTAGCTGTTTCTCAGGGTCCCTGTATGGAATGGAACCCTGATTCCCTGTTACCCATGGTCACCATGGTAGGCACAGAAACTGGCATCGAGAGTTGATATGGATGATGTGGCGAAACCAACCTCGCCACTGTGAACTGGAGAAGCCTGGTTGCTCGCCTGCTCCCTTTGGACTATGGCCCTGCAGGTTAAACCATTTATTTTCCCTGCAGAAAGGCTTATTCGTGTGATCTGAGTGCCATTCATCTAATAATGTGCGCTCAGATCAAAGCTATCTGGGGATGTGTAGAAATGTGTGTTTTATGTATTAAATGTATCAGTATGTAATTTTATGTCTTTTACTGTCTTTTTGTCTGCCATGTGGGTAATGGAGTTTTGCCTCTGTCCTGGGAGATGATTAGATTCCTTCCCCAATTATCTCCAGGCCAGAGGGGAGGGATTGTGAGGCATTGTGGGAGGTAACTCATGTGTGATTGGTGTATTGTGTAATTGTTGTAAATCCCTCCCTTGCATGGGAGAATCCTTTATAAGCCTGTTGTGTGAATAAATCAGGGTAGTTCCTGTTTAACCCTCCAAGTGAAGTGTCGTCTCATTATTGGGGGAAGGATTCATTGTATGCTGTTCCAGTTTGACTGCTAGGAGAGTAAACCTATTCGTATGGTTCCTATTCAACTGTCTACAGCATTCATATGCTTGGGAGAATTTATTTGTTTCTCCGGTTCGGTGATTGTGGTGTCTGCCAGAGTGCTTGGAGTCCTCAGGAAGCGCTAGGAGCATCCTGCAACGGAGGTACCCAGTCGGGGTGCCAGGCGATCCGTTACAATTGGTGGCAAGCGACGGGATCATTCCCACAGCCCAGAAGGACAGCTACAAGGTAACACCATCCCCTGGACTTACAAATGGAGGGCAGCAGGGCAAGCATGGCACCCAGCTACACTCAGGAGCAGTATGACAGAGAATTTACCACGCGGATGGCTTTCTTTGGACCCAACCCCCTGGAGAGATGCGTGCAGTTCGTAAGGAGCCAGGTAGACGAGTACCTGCAGTGCGTTACGGGGACTCAAAAGGGTACCCCAGGGAGCTGAAGGTGTCGTCCTTCCTCCCCAGCGGCAGTGTGTGTCCCAGGGAGCAGAAGGTGCAGTCCTTCCTCCCCAGTGGCTGTGTGTATCCCAGGGAGCTGAAGGTGCCGTCCTTCCTCCCCAGCGGCAGTGTGTGTCCCAGGGAGCTGAAGGTGCCGTCCTTCCTCCCCAGCGGCAGTGTGTATCCCAGGGAACTGAAGGTGTCGTCCTTCCTCCCCAGCGGCAGTGTGTGTCCCAGGGAGCTGAAGGTGCCGTCCTTCCTCCCCAGCGGCAGTGTATATCCCAAGGAGCAGAAGGTGCAGTCCTTCCTCCCCAGCGGCAGTGTGTACCCCTGGGAGCTGAAGATGTTGTCCTTCCTCCCCAGCGGCAGTGTGTACCCCAGGGAGCTGAAGGTGCTGTCCTTCCTCCCCAGCGGCAGTGTATATCCCAGGGAGCTGAAGGTGCTGTCCTTCCTCCCCAGCGGCAGTGTATATCCCAGGGAGTAGAAGGTGTAGTCCTTCCTCCCCAGCGGCAGTGTGTACCCCAGGGAGCTGAAGGTGTTGTCCCTCCTCCCCAGCGGCAGAATGTCCTGCAGGGAGCAGGGACTGTCAGTCTTGCCCCCCAGCCGCAGGACAAGATAATGAAAGGGGAGACAGCTGGTCCCCCTCTCCACCAGCAGAGAGAGTGTCATGGAGAGGAGCCTGATACCCCCTCTCCCCAGCAGCAGTTTACAGTCCAGAGAGAGGAGCTTGTTACACCCTATCTCCAGTGGCAGCCTAACCCACCAAGGGGAGATGTTACACCCCCCAACGGTGCAGATGGGACCGTAGTCTCTGTACTTGCAGCACAAGGGGTAAGGACGCTCGGTCCTGTCCCCCAGCCACAGAGCGGTATATCCAGAGGGGAGACAGTCGGTCTCTCCCTCCCACAACCAGGCTCCAACCAGGCTACTTCCGCGGTAGTACTGGCACCAGGGCAAAGTACCGTTAGTCTCTGTCCACTCAGCAACCCACCAAGGCAGCCTAACAGTTCCCCACACAGTCGTAGTGAGGCACCTGGACATGGACAAAGCTCTCCTCTACCCAGGTGTAGTAACCAGTTATTGTGGGTGGGCTGTACTGCTGTTTCTGTTTTGTGGGTGGGTTGCTGGACTAACCAGGGCACTGACCGGCAGGAGGTCAGATACCCTGTTAGTCTAGTTGGTAAAGGGGAGAAGTGTGGCGAAACCAACCTCGCCACTGTGAACTGGAGAAGCCTGGTTGCTCGCCTGCTCCCTTTGGACTATGGCCCTGCAGGTTAAACCATTTATTTTCCCTGCAGAAAGGCTTATTCGTGTGATCTGAGTGCCATTCATCTAATAATGTGCGCTCAGATCAAAGCAATCTGGGGATGTGTAGAAATGTGTGTTTTATGTACTAAATGTATCAGTATGTAATTTTATGTCTTTTATTGTCTTTTTGTCTGCCATGTGGGTAATGGAGTTTTGCCTCTGTCCTGGGAGATAATTAGATTCCTTCCCCAATTATCTCCAGGCCAGAGGGGAGGGATTGTGAGGCATTGTGGGAGGTAACTCATGTGTGATTAGTGTATTGTGTAATTGTTGTAAATCCCTCCCTTGCATGGGAGAATCCTTTATAAGCCTGTTGTGTGAATAAATCAGGGTAGTTCCTGTTTAACCCTCCAAGTGAAGTGTCGTCTCATTCTTGGGGGGAATTTGACTGTATGCCGATTGCCAGGAGTGTAAGCTGTTCTTAGGGCTTTTCCTGTTCGGCTGCTTCCAGGGTTCGTGTGTTTCCTGTTCGGGAGTTGGGGATTCGTACAGTTTGGAGTTCGGGAGATTGGTAATTGCAGTAGCTGCTGGTCTATGGGAAAGGGGATTATCGCCTAAACGGTTTTTATCCTCTTGTGAGAGAAACGGTCCGTTACAGATGACATCCGCATGCAAAGTCGCTGCCACGGGGTTGTGCGATTTGCTCGAGGTTCTCTAGAGTCAACATAGTTCCTGCGCAACTATAATGTCAACAGCTACTCTGCGGAACAGAGTTGTCTTTTTTTATATGTCCCAATATATATATAAAAAAACAGTGTTGGCTACCTCATCCTCCTCCTCCACAGCCACGGTCACCACCTCCTCAACCCATGGGTCACTTAGTATAAACTATATACACAATAGCAGAGGCTTGTGAAGGCCTTTTCTCAATGCATCAGGAGTTGAGCATTTCTCCATGCATCAGGACTGCAAGAAATGCACCGCAGGCTGCAAATGTTTCTTTTTTTTTATATGTCCCAATTTTTTGGGGGCTACCCTAATAAAAAAAAAAAAAAAAACAGTGTTGGCTACCTCCTCCACCGCTGCTTCCACCTACACCGCCACGGTCACCGCCTCCTCAACCTATGGGTCACTTAGTATAAACTATGTAAACAATAGCAGAGAGGCCTTTTCTCCATGCATCAGGAGTTGAGCTCAGTTTAAACAATGAAAGAGAATACCCTGCACTCCAACACTCTCTCAAATGGATAATTCTGGTGATTCTCCTGACAGCCATGCTTTAGATTTTGATTTATGTTCTTCTAAAGCTAAAATCAAAGATTCCATCTAGTGCAATTTTATGGCTCAGCTGTATTTTTAATTTTTATGTTATTTTAAGTGATTTCCTTATCCACAATTGTTTGCAGGGCACTTGTCCTACTCTTACCCCCATTTAATTTGCTTTTGCTGCTCTCTAGCTCTTTCCTGGACTTTATTGTGGCCAAAAGTTCGGGTCCCGATTGACTTCAATGGGGTTCGGGGTCAAGTTCGAGCCCGAACCCGGACTTTTTTTCAAAGTTCAGCCGAACCCGCCTGACCCGAACATCCAGGTGTCCGCTCAACTCTAGCTATAATCACGAAGGCTCAGTAGTTCAGGAGGAATAGTCGAACAAGGAACCATAACTATTAGCGTTTGTACTTTTGAATGTTAAGGGACAGAGGAGAGATTTGGAGACAGACACTGCACCATCATATAATGACAGAGAGGCTGACATTATGACATGTTCAGGAGAGTATGTTAATCTATTAATGATATTTTCAAGCATTCAGTTTAATCTTATAAACTCTGTTATATATAATTTTAATGGATTTTATTTGTCTATATTTATATTTTTATATTATAAATATATAAAAGACACAACTTTATTGCTTCCAAGGCAATCCTTATATTATATTGTATTCTCAATTATGTATATATGTTAAATAGAGGATCTCTTACTAACTATATAAAATTTTGGCTAAGATATCGGTATTGTAAGCCCCGCTACGTTTTATGCTTTAAGACGTTATAGTGGTAAATAAGGGACCCAGCCACAGTTACAATTGCTCTGCTCCCCTTTGTGGCAAAACTAGCCACTTAAAACTATAATTGTATGCAGTGGCGTACACATGACCCATGGGGCCCCGGTGCGAAAATTGATCCGTGGTTAATCCAGCCTCTAGTGGCTGTCTCACTGACAGCCGCTAGAGGAGCACACTGAACGTCCATAGGAAAGCATTGAGTAATGCTTTCCTATGGGTGGTTTGAATGCGTGCGCGGTCGCATTCGGAGCTGAGAGGCTGAGGGATCCCCAGCGCCAAGGGAGTCCGGCGCTGGAGAAAGGTAAGTGCTGAAGACACGCATACACACTAGCTAACAGACACACACATTTACTGACAGAGACACAGTCAGTGACAGACATACATACACACTCACTTACAAAACATACACTCTAATTGACACACACTCACTAACAGACATCAAACAGACTCACTAACACACACACACTCAGTAAGACACACACAGTAACACACTCACTGACACTCACTAGCAGACACACACACTAACACTCACACTCACTCTAACACTCACTAGCAGACACACTCACACTCACTCTAACACTCACACACCCTCAAACACTAACACTCACTCTAACACTCACACTAACTTTTTTTTTTTTTTTAAATATAGTCCCCCCAGCCTCCTTACTTTTTAAAAGTGCTGAGGGGATTCCCTGGGGTCCAGTGGTGCTGCTGGGCGGGTGGCCGGTCGGGCAGGCGGGCGCGCGAGGGAGCACTCACTGCTTCCTCTTCAGCTCCCTCGCGCGGGGTGGTCGGCTCCTGGGCCCCCCAGGGGAAGAGGCTGGCCCTGTGGCTACATACC